GTGCCAAGACCTGGTATCATAAGTGTATGGGCTACTAGTAGAATATACAAAATTTTACTACTCTACTATCTGAAATGAAATAGATAGAACAATATACAAAGAAAGACTCTTGCTGCTGCGGAACAGCTCGGAAGGGCAACTCATTGTGTAGTCTCGTAATAGGGATCAAGTATGCGCCCGGACTGATATCCAGATACACCTGCCTCAGATCCTATACATTTAAGTGCAGAAGTGTAGCGTGAGTACATAAATAACATGTACCCAGTAAGTATCCAGTCTAACCTCGAAGAAGTAGTGACGAGGGGTCGACTTTGACCCTTAATAACAATAAGATGTCAAAATAATAACTAAGCATGGATTACATAAATATAGCAGAAAACTCACTAACAGGAATAATAAACACTTTCTCCGCTAAAGATATATCTCAAGTTTACTTTCCATCATTTAACAATTTATATCTCAAATAAATAAACATTATAATTATAAATGGATTCCAAAGATTTATCATGTGCAAATTATGCCAAGATCGTACGGTCCAATCCAACATAATAATATTTCAATTGTGCACTGTCGAGGGTCGAACGACACGAATCATAGATGCATCTATCTGCTACCGAGGCATTTGGCCCGCTCTACAATAGAAAATACTTTAAAGAAATACAAATTCTCAATGACAGTCAAGTGTCCCATTCACAACTTCAAGTAAGTGAAATTTAACCTTTTACAATTCTTTTATCAATTTTTAATATGACTTAGGCAATTAAGTTAACAAGCAGGGTGCAACCCATTTCAAGTATGGCATGATATGGGTCCTAGACTACTCGGACAATAGCGTAATTAGTATCTACATACAGACTCTCGTCACCTTGTACGTATGTAGCCCCCACAAATAGGAGCACATATTAATTAATTCACCCATGGAGTTAATTTCCTCTTACAAGGTTAGAAAAGAGACTTACCTCGTCTCAAAGCCTACTTTTCGGTCCAAGATTGTGCCCAAATCCTCAAATTCGGTGTCAAACAATCCCAAACTAGTCAAATTGTATATAAATTAATCAATACATGTTCAAAAGTTCATATGTCAACTATTGTAGTGATTACCCAGCCCTAAATGCAAGATTCCTAAAATTCACCCCTGACCCACGTGCCCGAATTTCGGAAATTTTTGAAGAAAATTGTTACTCATAACCTCATGAACTCAAATATATGATTTTCACTAAATTCCATAATTAATTTCGTGGCTTAAATCCCTTTATATCAAAAACATAGGTTTTTCATCTAACCCATAAATTCACAAATTTACATGTTAAAATCTATACATAATCTATGTATTAAACTCACATTAGGTAGAAATTACTTACCCTCAATAGCTAGGTTGAAATCCCCCTTTTTGAAGCTCCAAAATTGCCCAAGTGAGTGAAAAATGAGAGTCAAATGCCTAAGTCCCGTATTTAAAACAAGGTTTCTGCCCAGCTGAACGACCTTCTTCGCGAACGCGGAAGAACCCTCGCGTTCGCGAAGGCCTAAATTTACTGAGCATTGCGAACGAGACAACTCGTTCACAAATGTGAAGAGCAAAGTCAACTGGCCCTCACCAGCCCCATTTCCTATACGCGAACACGAGTTGGGTTCACGAACGCGTGAGCCGGACCGCGAACGGGAAGGGCAATTTGCCCATTTCCCTAAATCCTTCTTCGCGAATGCGATGGCTCTCCGGCGTTCGCGAAGAAGGAAACCACAACTGGAAAAAATTTGGTTTCTCAAATTTAGCTCCGGGCGGTTCGAAACACACCCGAGCCCCTCGGGACCCCGTCTAATTATACCAACAAGTTTGTAATCATAATACAGATCTGCTCGACTCTCGAAATGCATAAAACAACAACAAAATCAAGAATCACACCCCAAAACCAAATTGGATCAAACTATGAACTTCAAGTTTCTAAATCGCTCCAAACGCGCCGAATCATACTTAGACTACTCAGAATGACACCAAATTTCGTGTGCAAGTCTTAAATGACATTATGGAACTATTCTCGATCTTAGAATTCCATTTGGACTTCTATATCAGCAAAACCTACTCCAAACCAACTTTAAAGAACTTCAAAACCTCCAAAGAACCAATTTTCACTATTAGGCTCCAAAACACTCCCGGTCATCCAAAATTAGATCTGAATACACGTTCAACTCCGAAATCATCATACGAACCTATTGGAACCGTCAAATCCTGATTCCAAGGTCGTTTGCTCAAAATATTGACCGCAATCAAACTTAGCCTTTTTTGGCCAACCTTAAGGAACCAAGTGTTCCGATTTCAGCCCGAACCTTTCCAAATCCCGAACTAACCATCCCTGCAAGTCATAAAATAGTAAAAGTACGTATAGGAAGTCTTATTTAAGGGAATGGGGTTCTAGAAACCAAAACGACCGGTCGGATCGTTACATCACCCCTATTTATTATATGTTGAAAAATAAAATAAAAATATGTAGTACTTAATAAGAAGGGTAAAATAGGTATAAAATGACAAATTATTCATTAATTTTTCAAACTGAACAAGTAAAATTAAATATTAATTTTTAATATTATGGATAAGTAAATTTGAACGAAGGAGTATATTGTTAGATAAGGACCTGCATGAAGATTTTTATTTTGTTATTCGAATGTTGGAATTCAATCTGTTAATATGGGCTTGGCTCGTTGGGCCAGCCTAGTCCTACTCGTGATTTAGTTGGGTTGGGCTAGATTTTTTGGAGCCCATTTAAAAGCGAGGCTTCTAAGCCCCTCCCGAATAATCTCATGGCCCATGAAGCTTGACTAAGGTTGGGATGGGCCATCCTGTGGGCCTAATAAAAATATTTATTTAAAATATAAAAAGTATTTGACACTTTAGTATCGAAATCAATATTTAGCATTGGTTGGCGTGTTCTTACCAAGTACAAAAGTTACATCCATCATAAAAATGTCCTAACACTTGTTACTGCTTGAAATTAGTTGCACGACTTTTTTCAAACTCAAACTGGTAGTATTTTTTTACGTGAATTTGAATAATATTAGTTTTAAAATTTAACTATTCTTAATACTCAAGTAATTAATATTGCATATGTAGATGAAAGTGAAGATGTTAAGTTAGTCTTGTCACAAGCAGATTTAAATGTGTTTGATGAAGATGATGTGTTAGATATCCCATAAGCGTCATGGACAACAACAACAACAACAACAATAACAACAACAATAACCCAGTAGAATCCCATTAGTGGGTTCTGAGGAGGGTAGAGTGTACGTAGACCTTACCCTTATCTCGGAGGGACAAAGAGGTTATTTTCGGAAAACTCTCGGCTCAGAGACAGTAGATCCATAACAACTACAGAAACCAGAAAAACAGTATCATCTTCGTAAAAGACAACGAAAAAAATGGAAAAGCAAAAAAAAAAGTGTGAAACACAACAAAAATAGCTAGCAGTCCCAGATATAACACTATCAGGCTAGCCGGCACAACCAAGAAAAAAGCTCGACTACCCCCCTAACCTACTACCCTAATGCTTGACCTCCACACCTTCATATCAAGGGTCATGTCCTCGGAAATCTAAAGTCGCGTCATGAACGTTCTCTTGAATAGTTTGTTTGAGTTTTGACTTTTAGTGAATGAAATATAGTCTTGTCTTTCACGTTTTTAATATTTATTGTGATATATTGGAATAGTATAAAAAGTTATTAAGTTTTGCAAAAATTTTCCAATAAGATATTTTTTAACTTTTAAATATCTATCTTTTTTTAGGTTAGTACTTAAAGAAAAAATATAAAATTATATTTTAAAAAATGATGGGTTGGCTGTGGTGGCCCGTGGTCCACATAGAACTGGGGTGGGCTGACCATTATAAGGCCCATTAAAATAGTGGGCTAGCCAACCCAACCTGTCAATTGCTAAAACCCACGTGAACTGGACTAACCCGACCCGACTCATATTGACAGCTCTAGTTGGAATTGATAATATTACCTACAAAAGTCAAATCAAAAGTCAAAATAAGGTAAGGACAATTGAAATAATACTTGATATTAAAATGTCAAAATTTCGTTAATTAATTTTCCCAATAAAAGCGGATGTACCACCGAATCCTAACCCGACTTCCATACAGATTGCTACTTGTAAAAGTTGGAAGATCAGATATTCCAGAATTATCATGTTCTTTTCTACTTTCTCCTTTTTATCTTTTTAAGTTTTACATATTAATATGTATAAACTTCTTATCGAGGACATGACATGAATGGAAAGATGTGGAAGTCAAAAGTTAGGGTAAATGGTCAGTAGGTAGTTGTAAGTTTACCCTTTCTTACCACTTGTATTAATAGCACTCTTATATTTTCATATTCTTGAAGCTTTATTTACATCTGATTATTTCTTTCGCGTGAGCTATCATATTTTTTGTTGTTACTATTTGGGGCTACTTCTTCCTTTTCATCTTCTTCTTTTACTTTTCCTTTCTTTTCCTGCTCTCCTTCTTCTTTTGCTTCCTCCTCTTCTTCTTTTTTTCTCTTCTTTACTTTATGTCGAGTGAGGGTCTACCCAAAAATATATTCTCTACCGTATCAGATATAAGATAAGTTCTATATACATATTACTTTTCTCAAATTTCACTTATAGGATTAAATTGAATCTGCTGTTATTGTATAAATATCTTACACTACTGTATTGATGCATGATAAGCATCTATTTATTGTAAGTTTGACTTAAAACCTTGAAAATTACAGTAATATTGTGTATATAACAATTAAACAGAATTATTTTAATGTCAAAGTAAATAAATTAAAATATGCAAGAGAATATGAACGCATAAAAGATACTTAGTTGATAATATAGTTGAGGCATCTAATGATTGTGCAATATAACTTTTTTATGTGTGGTACTTTTCGATTTTAACTAGCTAAAATTCCTCCGCCCACAAAAATGACTTTAAAAGATCCCCCCTATATATATCTTCCAATCAGAAACTTTCTTTCCCATGGACCTCTCTATCTCTCTCTCTTTCAACTTCACTGTCTTCTTTTCTTATCTCTATAGCCTATATTGCATTAAATTATATATACTACCAGTTCTCTGCTTGTTTTTCATGTTAGAAAAGTCTCCTTCGTCCGCACCCACATATGTTGAATCTGACCTAAAGTTAGCCAACTGTTAACCCATTTAATTTTCTTATATCTACCCTCTATTATCTTCTTCCCAAAAACAGGAAAGTTATATTGAAGCTAACTCTTCAACACCAAGAAAAATACTGTACGTATTGTTATCAAGAAAACATTCCCTTTTATCAATTTCGAAATGAATCAATGTGTACCTAGTTGGGAATTTGAGGACACTTCCACTCCTCCAAAGCTTCCTCTTCAAACCCAATCCAATTCCTTAGCCCCTGGTGTCCCCTCGTATGTACTCTTTTTTACTCTGTCACCATATATTTTTCTTCCATCAAATTTTGTTTTTAGTTCAAGATTTTGATTCAGTTATATATAAAGCTTGCTACAACGTGCAGCACCAACACCTTTTGTTTTCCAACTCCATCTGCATGAGCATATATTTGTTTTTTTTTAACAAATATGGAGTATATATATATATAGACACACATATATTATCAACTTAAATTATACTTTGGATTTACTGACTTAAAATTTTAAATTTGCAGATTGGATTATGAAGTAGCAGAGCTAACGTGGGAAAATGGGCAGCTAGCAATGCATGGATTAGGTCCTCCACGGGTGCCTAATAATAAGCCCATATCTAACTATGGAGGCACCCTTGAATCAATAGTGAACCAAGGCACCCGATCCATCCCTCACCACCACCAGAAGTCCGCTCTCAACGGCAGCGGACACGGTTGTGATGAGGTTGTCCCTTGGTTCAACTACAACCATGTCGTCGCCGACACTCCTCTAGTTCCCGGCTTGCTCACTATGGCCAAGGATGCCTTAGTGCCATGTTCCGCAAATTCCAACTATCACAACCGACCACCATCCTCCGTGCAGGTGCCGGGGCTTGACGGCTCCACACATGTGGGGTCGTGCAGTACTGGCGCCACTAACAGCAGAGACTGGATGGCGGTGCCACGTGTGAGAATGGAGCCCACACACGAGTGGAGCAGCCGGGCAGATATGAGCGTAAGTGGAAGTGCAACGTGCGCGGGAGATAGCCGCCAACTGACAGTTGACACATATGATAGAGAAATGGGTACAGGAATGTACACTTCTACATCTATGGGGTCACCGGAAAACACCAGCTCCGACAAGCAGTGCACCAATAGGACGGGGGACGACCATGATTCCGTTTGTCACAGCAGATCTAAGGCATAATTATGAGCTTCTCTTTGTGCCTGCATATTATTTTCGTTGTGTTATTCTGCATGCTTTTCTTCTTAATATCTTTCGTATTCAATTCAACATGAGTCTATTTTATAACTTAATTTTATTATGATAATAGTTGAGATGAGATGTTTTTCTAGAATTATATATATATTTAGTTAATCTTTAAGATTATTTATTAACCGACAGAGGGAGGTAGGTGATGAAGAGGATGAGAAAAAAGGATCTAAAAACTCCTCATCTTCCACAAAGAGGAAGAGGGCAGCTGCCATCCACAACCAGTCTGAACGAGTACGATTCTCCCCCTCTTAATTTTGTCTTTTTTTTTCTCTCTTCCGGTGGACCAAGGGTCTGTTTGGTTGGGGGGAGGGGGGTTGCTAAAGAAAGGAAATAAAATACTACTCCATCCGTTTCAATTTATGTGAACCCATTTGATTGGGCACGGAATTTAAGAAAAGAGAGAAGACTTTTGAACTTGTGGTGTAAAATGAGGCACATATATTTTGTGTGGCTATAAATCATTGCATAAAGGTAAATTGTTTCCAAATAATGAAAGGGGTCATTCTTTTTAGTACAGACCAAAAAAGAAATAGGTTCACATAAATTAAAACGGAGGGAGTACATATTTTTGGCTTGATATGTTTTTTTATTTAATAGAAAAGAAGAGACAAGATTAATCAAAGGATGAAGACACTGCAGAAGATGGTTCCAAATTCGAGTAAGGTAATGGAATTGAGAGACTATTAATCTTTTTACGTGTATTATTTTCTATGAAAATTCTAGTAGATAGAAGTTCATCCTCATCTAATTCCATCGTGGTCCGATATATAATCGTTTTGACTAAGTGAATTAATTTGTTTAGAGATATTTGCTTGTATGGAAAACTAAAAATAATTTATAGTAGTGCTTTTTGTTTTTCCCCCTCCGAATTCGCCTATATGGTTTCAATTAATAGATTACTAATTAAGCAAATATTTTAGAGAGAAATAAAGTATAATAGATAATTCGCTTAAAAATATGGATTGACGGTAACATATAAATCTTCTATCATAATTTATGTGATACATTTTTTTTAAAATTTTATATAAAAAATTGATTATTTTTAAAAAAAATTAATTCAACTTCAAACTTTCTATTTTACTTTTAATGATATGATTTATAATAATAAAAATATCTATGATTTAGATCATAAGTTTTTAAAAAATAATTTCTTAAATTTTGTGTCCAATTAAGCACCTTCGCATAAATTTTTTATGCGACGAGGAATACACGATTTATATCACATAATTAGCATATTATTCCTTTCCCGTTGTTCGGAACTCTAAATTTCAGAAACTTGCTCATTCTTGATGAATTGCTTCCCTCAAACTCAACTTTGTTGGAAATAGTAGCATGTTTTGACCGAGCCGTAAAAATCTAACTTATTTTGAGATTTTTTTTTTCAAAGGTAATTTTGGTGAGAAGCAGTTTGTGTTTGGTTAATTAATTTGAAAGCACTTCTAAACAACATTTAGTTGTTTGACCAAACTTTTAAAAACTATTTCTAAGTGTATTTTTCTCAAAAGTATTTTTTGGTGCTTTTGGAAAGAAGCTATTTTTTTCTGCTTCTCCAAAACTGATTCGCTTCTCCTCAAAAACACTTTTTTTTTCTTCAAAAGTTTGGCCAAACACTTTAACTTTGAAAAAAAAAATACTTTTTGATTTAAAAAAAATGATCTTGCAAAATGGAAGAAACTTGGCCAAACAGGCTATTAGGTATAAATTGAGCTAATGATAATTCAAAATTATGTACAATGTGTACCTAAAGTGAGCACGAATCCTTATAAATTTGCAGATATAGTATGTGTCCCAATCCTTTTTTGTAAGTATCAATGGTAGGTAGAAATGTTAGATTACCCCTTAGTGGAAAAAAGGAAATTCAAGCATCATTGGAAGTCAATCCAAACCAAAAAAATCAACTGTTTTAATGGAAGTGTCAGTGAAGATTGGCTATAAGAGAGCAGCCTTATGAAACAATACAAAAAGGTAGTAGTCGTAGCTAGTTCAATAGTGGAGGTTAATGAGTGAAAATAATAGGACTGGAGACAATTTAGTGGAAAGTGGTCCTAAAACATTGAGTGTGAATATATGGGAAAGGATCCAAATTCTAATGATCTAAGTCCACACATATACTGTCCTGAAGGAGACAACTCGACAAATGTTTGTTGGTTGAGAAGACAATCTTGTTCTACCACATAGTAAATCTGAGGTAGGGGCCTTAAACAACCCTCTTTAATTTGCGGTTATCTTGTTTCAACCATTTGTTTTGCTGAGCTTTCTACATTTATACCTTTCCAAAATACATATGGCCATCTTTGGCTAGAAATTTATTTTAAATAAATTTTAATTTAAAAAAAGCTTTTTTGTTCATATTATTTTACTTTTAAGATTCTTGCACACTCTTTAAGAGAAATATAAAATATTTTCGTTAGTGAGTCTATCTGACACAAATCTAAATCAATTGACTAATCGTTTTTTAAAGGATGATTGACGAGATGATTGAGATTTCTTCACTTGTAAGAGGTTTGGTTTTAAGTATTGGAAATTTTAAAAAAAACGTATTGACAGAGTACATTTTATTCCCTTGGTGGCCGTGGTTACCAGGATTAGGATACTAATCTCGGTATAAAATTTGGGAATAAATACTGAGATATTGGTATTATTTATGAGATAATAATAACATGATAACTTTGTTAGCAACCAAAAGACACCTTAGTATGCTACATAATCGAAATTAATTGACCCATGAAATTCCGGTAAAGGTTAATTAAAAAAAGAGAAGTAATGTCCTTTTTTGCCTCTTTTTTTATTTTATTGCAGACTGATAAAGCATCAATGCTAGATGAGGTGATAGAATATCTAAAGCAACTGCAATCTCAAGTGAATATGATGAGCAGAATGAACATGTCACCGGCCATGATGTTACCATTAGCTATGCAACAACAGCTTCAAATGTCTATGATGGCTGCACCCATGGGCATGGGTATGGGTATGGGTATGGGCATGGGTATGACCGGTGTTGCCGGAGTTTTGGATATCAACACCCTTAGCCGCCCCAATATCACCGGACTTCCTCCCTTTCTCCACCCTACCGCTGCAGCCGCCGCCGCTTTTATGCAGCCTATGACCTCCTGGGATGGCTCCACTGACCGTCTCAATGCTGCTGCTGTCCCCGATCCTTTAGCTGCCTTACTCGCTTGCCAATCACAGGTAAAACACTAAGGAATTTAAGTTATATACACCGACTGTTTAAGAAAAAACTTTTAATCTTATACTATCAAGTCACTTTAAAAAGTTATTATAGGTAGTTGTCGATAATAAATAGAGTTAGTAATCTATAAAATAATGCAAATTACATGTTATAACGGATCAAATGTCTTTAATTTTCTAAACACTTATACACTATCAGTAGAGAAGTTAAATATTCTGCCAAAGTGTTTCATTGGATTTTAAAAAAAAAAAGTTGGGACTTATGGAGATTATTTCTATTATATTAAGTGTTTTCCTTTTAAATAATGGATTGTAAAAAAATTGGCATTCTGAATTTGCAGCCAATGACCATGGATGCGTATAGTAGGATGGCAGCATTGTACCAGCAATTCCTACAGTCAGCTGCTGGCTCTGGTCCTAAAAATTGATATATAGTTGTCATTTTTGTAAAGTTTTCCAACTTTTCTTGATTAATCCTTTCCACTGGATTGCCTGAGATATTGAAAGTTTAAGGGACACTTGGACCTTTTCTGTTTTGGAAATGTCAGTTTAAAAGTTGAATGATTGTTGCTTCTATAAACAGTTTGTAATTAAATTGATCATGAGTTCTTTTTCTTTCGTCATTTTTTCCCGTTATTTACGGTTGAAAAATTGTATCATTAACTTATACTCAACAGCTAGTTAACATATGATAGTGAGTGTAAATTATATATACATGTAACCTGATTATTCAAATTACGTCAAACTTCCAAGTGTCATGCATGGATAGTGATTTTGTTGTAACTGGCTTCTTAATTAAGTAGTACTTTCTCTCCTTTTAGAAAGTGCAAGAAAGACATTCACATTTAGATCATTACCTTAGGGCCCTTATTGCACACACCAAAAGAAAAGAGGGGGAAAAGAGAAAAGGAAAGGACGGTTAATATGTTGAAATCTTTTGTCAACTTTCTTGAAAGATTGTGGATCAACTAGAGGGTTTTTTCCTTAAATTTAGATGTAAATATCCTTCAATATTTCCCCCACATATATAGTTAACAAAACTACTATTACTAATTAGATAACGATAGGATTAATATTCGAACTCGTAAAAATAATAGTTCAAATTACGACTTCTTAATCACTAAATTTTCTTTCTCGGGAAAATATTTTGGATCGTTATTATTTGGATAACATATTAGATCTCTCAGACGCTAGTCCACCATTTTCATAAAATATCACCAAATAACTTGCCATGTTTCAATAGCTTCTTAGGTCTTTTATTCTGGCATTTTCCTTCATGTATTAAGGAAAATATATATGTTTACTTTGGGAGGTCCAACATTAATTAAAAATAATATATAAAATTATTAAATCCCAAAATATAAGTAAATAAATCTTTCAAGCCCCTAAATTCTTAAACCCCGACCGCATACTAATTACAACAGGCAGAAGGCAAATAGCTAGCAAATGCTTTAACGTGTATCTGATCATTTTTTCTTTGCGTTTTTTTTTTCGTTTTTCTAAAAGAAAAAAGAAGTTTATAATGATTAACTAGGTTAAATCTGACCAATCATAACTACTATATGTTTGACGTAAAGCTTTTAGATTATCACAAGACAGGAGATACATAAAACATGCAATGTTGGCTAAAAGTAACACATAGAAATGATTGGAGTTTATGATATATCATGTCAAACTTAGGTTAAGGCTCACCACAAGTTAAAGAGAAGGTGATCATTATATATCATCATGCATAGACGATAACCTTAGCTAGTCGGAACAAAAAAAGAAAATAAATAAATAAAATAAACAGTAAGTAAAAACAAAAAGGTCAAATCAAAATAATAAAATCTTGGGTCTCTTTTCTACTTCTTCCTATCCTAATTAAATAAAAAGTATCCCTTTGTATAACTGATAGCTTGTACTATCAT